GAACTGAGTATGGATCAAATACCCATATCTGGACAACTAACACCAAGTCATTAAGAGTCTTTAGAGGTTTTTACTTTTAATTACATGTATATGCCTGTATCTATGTGGATATGTGTGTGTGTGAATCTAAGTGCCCAGGAAAGCCAGAACAGGGCATTACATACCCTTGAGCTGGAGCTACAGCAGACTGTGAAGCACTTCCAAGGGTGCTAGGAACTGAACTCAAGCCCTCTGGGAGAGCAGTACATGCTTGTAACCACTGAGCTGTCTCTCCAGATCCCTAAATGGCTATATGACTTCAGGGAGAAAATAATTATTCAGAGTATTACCAGAAAGAACATCAAAACCTTAAAGAAGGACAGAACAGCTTCTCAGTGTTTTTTTTTTTTCTTGCTGTTTCAATTTAGTAAAACTAAGATTTCTCTTGAGACTTTTTGTTTAATTTTTTTCTCCTGCCCCTCCCCCAGGTCCTCTTTCAAGGTTTTTAATATTTCATTATAATGTATTACCTAGCCTCCATTTAACTCTCCTAACCAAACTTATCTGTCCCAATCTTCTGTAAGGCAGCCTATATTTGCATATACTACCACCCATGACCCCTTAAAATTCTTCTACATAAACACCATCTGATAAAACACAATCCTAATAAGATGTATAATCACCCAATTTTTTTAATGATGCTGCTGCTCACTGCCTATATCATAATTAACTTTCTGAGCCAACAAGATGGTTCAGTAGGGAAAAGGTACTTGGGACTAGCTTGGTGAGTCCCAGGACTCATGTGGTAGGAGAAAACAACTCAGCATGCTGTCCTCTCCTCCAACGTTAAAACACAAAACAGCAACCAAACTCTCCATTAAAACTCCATAAAATCTAGCCGGGTGGTGGTGGCACACTCCTTTAATCCCAGCAATCAGAAGGCAGAGGCAGGCAGATCTCTGTGAGTTCGAGGCCAGCCTGGTCTACAAGAGCTAGTTCCAGGGCAGACTCCAAAGCCACAGAGAAACCCTGTCCCGAGGGGAAAAAAAAAATAAAAAACACTCCATAAAATCTAAAGGAAAAATACGATAAGGAGATGATGGGACAGACTTAGAAGACTTCCTAGGGGCGACCTTACCATCCCCAAGGAGCAGATGTGAGGAGGGGTAGGGGTGGGGAGAGGAGGGAGAACTGGGATTAGAATGTAAAATAAATAAATAAATAAATAACAAATTTTAAAAAATAGACAACTGGAAAAAAATCCAGGCCATTCCGGTAAGCTCTAATGCCAGAAACACATGGTTCCCAGGATCAGCAGAAAATTCAATGTAAAAGTAACTGGCATCTATAGATTACTGTATGGAAAAACAAAGTAACGGGATGACTCAACCTGGGCAATTATGAAAAAAATACTTTGGTTTTGGTTTTCAAGACAGGGTTTCTCTAAGTAGCCCTGGCAATTCTCAGCCTCAGAGAACTGCCTGCCTCTGCCTCCCAAGTGCTAGAATTAAAGGTATATCCCACCACTGCCAGTGAAATACTTCTTTCTTGTTTGAGCCATGGCATTTTTGGATCTCTGGTTTCAGGGTCTCTTTAAAATAATATTCAAAGGTCAAAGAAAAGTAGCACTCAGCTGTAACCATGGTACCTGAGAGGTGGAGGTAAGTACATCAGGAGTTCAAAGTCAGCCCTAACTATATAGTAAGTTCAAGGACAGCTAGAGCTACATCAGACCCTATCTCCTGACACTCCTAACTCTTCTCAACAAATCAAAGAAAGAACACTCTATTCAAAGGCTGGGGCTAGAGTTCAGCAACAGAGCACATGCTCAGGAGTTTAGCACTAAGTTGATCCAAACCCCGCCTTCTCAGAGAATTTCCAACAAAGAAAAGGCCTCCAAAAGCCCAGTTCCACATTCTTGATGGCTGGCTGCTCTTCCCTTGAAGTTGCCAGCAGCCCAAGACCTGGCCTAAAGCATACCATACTTGGGCACAAGCCCAGCTTATGGAGGACACGTCATCACCCCTCATCTACAGGGTATTTAAACTCCCTGCTTTAGTTTAGACACATGATTTCTTAAGCTCCCTCTCCAGCCTCAATCTCTGGGAGCTGGAGGACTCACCCAGGAATTGCTTTGCTCAAAATAAACCTGTTTTCTTACTTTTTCAACTCAACTTGATCTGCCTTACTATGTTGGTGGAAAAACCTACTATTGAGGTATGGAAAACCTATTAGTAAGTGCTTGGTTCCATGCACCATCCCCACCACACACACACACACACACACACACACACACACACACACACACCCTCAACATGATTCAAAGTAGTAACAGTAAAGCCACACACAACACTTTAGTTACTGATACATGGTGTGGTAGCTTGAAAAGGTATGGCCCCCTTAGATTCGTGTGTGTGAATGTCTGGCACTTACTGAGTGGCACTATTAGATGTGACCTTGTTAGAGGAAGTATATCACTGTGGAGGTGGGCTTTGAGGTCTTAGGTGCTCAAGGTAGGTTTCATGACAGTTGCTTCTGCTGCCTGTGGAACAAGATGTAGAAACCTCAACTCGTTCTCCAGCACCATGTCTGCCTTCATGCTGCCACCAAGTTAATGAATTAAACCTCTGAAACTGTAAGCCAGCCATACTTAAATGTTTTCCTTTGTAAGAGTTATCACAGTCATGGTGTCTCTTCACAGCAATAGAGACTCTAAGACACACAGCATAGAATGATGGGCCACAACCATTGTATAAGAGATTATAATGGATCTGCCAGGCATGGTGGCAAACACCTGTTAATACCAACTACTTGGGAGGAAAGAGCACAAGGATCACTTGAGCCCAAGAGTTCAAGGTCAACCTGGGAAAAGTAATGAGACCACCACTAAGGGGGGGGGGGGCAAACAAACAAAAAACAATGAGGGTCATTGAGATGATTTATACAGTAAAGATTCTTGCCAGGGAAGCCTGATTGACAATGACCTGTGCTCAATCCCCAGAATCCATGTAAAAATACAAAACAAAAGAACTGAGTCCATAAAATTGTCCTCTGACCTCCGCACAAATGCTACTGTATACGCACACAAACATACCATACACAAACACACAAAACCAATAATAAAAGGAGCTGGAGAAATGATTCAGTGGTTAAGATCACTTTCTGCTCTTGCAGGGGACCCAGGTTTGGTTCCCATCTACATGGTGGTTTCCATCTGATCTGCCTTAACTCCAGTTCCATGAAATCTGACATCCTCTTTTGACCTCCACAGGCACCAGTCAAAAACGTGGTGAGAATACAAACATGCAGGCAAAACATTCATACACAAAAATAAGCAAATTTAAAATAATAAACATTTTAAAAATTACAACAGCAGACATGTACGCATACATTATACATTTTTTTTTTGTCATAACACTTGGGAGATATAAACAGGAGGAGTTAAAGGCCATATGAGGTGTGTATGGAGGGAGTGGCAGTTGGAGAGATGGATCAGCAGTTAAGAGCAGTGGCTGCTCTTGGTTTAATTCTCAGTGCCACCATGGTGGTTTACAACCATCAGTTAACTCCATCCAGTTCCAGGGGATCCTGGTACACATACATGCGGGCAGGAAAAACATTCATACACATAAAGTAAAATAAATAAATCTTAAAAAAAAAAAAGTAACTTAAAACATCAAGGAACACCCCTACACTCTAGGCTAGATAGAGACATGGCTCTGTACTTGTGTCTGGCATGTACAAGGCCCTAGAGTCAATTCCCAGCACCAGGAGACCCACTAATAGATTCTGTTTGTATGCTATAGCAACATAACCAGAAAGTTAGAAAAAGAATCAAATAGAATTTTTTTTGGTTTTTTCTTTCTTTCTTTTTAAGTAATTTAGATATTTTTCAGGCAGTTGTTGGCTCATGCCTTTAATGGAAACACTCGGGAGGCAGGGGCAGATGGGTCTCTCTGAATTCAAGGCCAGCCTACAGAATGAAATCCAGGCTCCAGAGCTACACAGAGAAACCCTGTCTCTCTCTCTCTCACACACACACACACAAAAAAAAAAAAAAAAAAAAAAAAAAAAAAAAAAGATAAAAATTTTTATTTTCTTTGCGATGGTGTTTTGCCTGTATGTATGTCTGTGTGAGGGTATCAGATCTTGGGAGTTATAGACAGTTGTTAGCTGCCATGTGAGTGCTGGGAACTGAACCCACTGAGCCATCTCTCCAGCCCCTTGTTTTGGTTTTTCAAGCAGGGTTTCTCTGTGTAGCCCAGGCTGTCCTGGAACTCACTCTGTAGACCAGGTTTGCTTCAAAGTCAGAGACCTGCCTGCCTCTGCCTCCTGAGTTTTGAGATTAAAGACATGTGCCACCAGGCCAGGCATCTACTAGATCTTTAAAGACTGATAAACAGTAGTAATTCTCAAATTGTTCCATAAAATAGAAAAGAAGCCATTGTTCAAAACCAGTACTATCCTGATACCAATACTAGAAGCTTAACCAAAAAGGAAGGGAGGGAGAGAAGGAGGGGGGAAAAAAGTACCTATCTACAAGTCAAAGAGATGGCTCAGTGGATAAAGATGCTTGCTGTCCAGCCTGATGACTAAGTTTGATCCCCAGGGACCCAAGGAGAGAACTAAGTCTTCTGAGTTATCTTCTGACCTCCACACATATGCAATAGAACTTGGGAGAATGAGCTCTAGCAAATTGGGGTGGGAGAATAACTAAATGGACAGCCCAGGGAATGAGCAGGCAGCCATTCTAGTCAATCCTGTGCTAAAATCCTAACAGTTTAAGCTCAGACGAGGCATGTAAGTCTGTGGTGGAGTTCTTACCTACCATGCACAAAGCCCTGTTTGATCTCCAATACTAACAAAAAGCAAAAGAGGTTGGGTACTAAAAAGTACAACTTCACATTACCTTCCTAACAAAAGAAAAGATGTTTATGCCAAAACTCAAGACACCAAACAGACATTTATTTAAATCTGTGGCAAGAACAGAGATTTGTAAAATCAGACCCAGTAGTACATACCTGTAATCCCAATATTTGAAAGACAGAAGCAAAAGGATCACAAATTCAAGTCCAGCCTAGGAAACATAGTGAGTTTGAGGTTAGCCTAGGCTACAAAGTGATGAGACCTTTACCTGGGGGCAGGGGGTGATTTTTATTTATTTATTTATTTATTTATTTATTTATTTATGCAAAAAGGTACAAGAGTTCTCACTCAATTAAGGAGTTCCTGCACAGCAATCTAACAAACCCTTATTACAAGATAAACCAGTTTAAGTTTCCTCCCACTCTAAAAGTCTCCCAATCCTTGTATATCAGTGCCATTATTCTGAAAAATTAGATGGGAACAATAATAAACTCACATAAAAACCAACTGTAATACTGTAACCTTTTTGTTTACTAACATATTTTCTCATTTCCAAACACAAAGCTACTTCATACCTACCACATCTAGGAAGAAAACACATGTAGAGCATAAGCAAAAGAGTAACGAACTAAATGACAGAACTATAATTTTTAAATGTAGATCTTACAGTCAGAGAAAGATAAGTTCATTTCAAATGTATTCCAAAGTTGGAACACTGAAATGTTCAGATGCTTAGGACAATTTCAAATTTATCCTTCCTTATACATACTGTATTTCCTTGTGTATAATCCAATAGCAGACAGCAAAATCACCATGTTAAATAAAAGATTTTTAAAAAATTCAAAAGAATAGCTTATAGATATTAATGGCTTTATAATCTGGTTTTTTTACTTCTTGATTAAGTGCAATCCCTTTCACCCACCCCTCCAGGAACCTATGGGAATTCTTAATTAAAACAGTACCAATCCCCAAAAGTATCTGAACAAATTATACCTATTCAATCTCAAAAGCTAATTTCTCTTGTAGTTATGACCTTCTCAAGTAAAAACTCTGAATAAGAGCCGAAAGAGGTCCAGAACAAACTGTCTCACCCTTATTCCCCCTCCCCCCTTTTTTGTTTTTAGTTTTGTTTTATCTTTTAAGACACCATATTTCTGTGTAACAGCTCTGGCTGCCCTGGAACTCCCTTTATAGATCAAGCTGGCCTTGAACTCACTGAGATTCTCCTGCCTCTGCCTCTGCCTCCTGAATGCTGGGATTAAAAACATGCACCACCACTGACCAGTTCTGCTTCACATTCTTAAAGTTACTACTGCCCCCATGAATATATGGTTACTACTATCTGTACACATTCTCTGTCATTTGCTGTAACACAAATATCTGCTGTTTTAAGACACAAAGAAAACATGAATGTGTGCATGTGTGTCAAAAAGCTATCTTTCTATGCTCTAATCCTCCTCCATCTCCTTTCCCACAGCACAAGCAAGCAGAGATGATGTACACGTCCTTATAAGAACCTGTGATTTCCTAGACTGCAGGCCTTTCCTTTTGTGTTCTGTATATGCTCTCTCTCTCTCTCTCTCTCTCTCTCTCTCTCTCTCTCTCTCTCTCTCACACACACACACACACACACACACACACACACACACACACACACACACACACACACGAGAGCGCGCACATTCTCATTTCTTCTCACAACCCCCTGGCATGATGCCAACACTCAGTCAGCTGGTTGATTCCATTCACAGAGCAGGATTGAAGCTAACATGTAAGGGGGAGTAGCAGGGTAAGGGAAGCTAGACCCATCCTGCTACAGACAAAAGACATTTTTTAAAATGAAAGGGGGGAGGAAGGGGGGAGGAGAAGGAAAGAGCTAAGAAGGGAAGCAGTAGGCTCAAGAGAAAACGAACCTTAACATCATTCTGCTTATAGTATCATCCTCAATACTGGAACCAAAAACCCTTACCTTACCATTCCAGCAAATGGATAAGGCAGAAGGGAAGAGGATCCAAACAGAAAAGATATTTGTATGAGAAATAATTATTCCATAACAGATTTTAAAACCAACAATGTTTTATTACTTCAATTCCACCAGAAATCACAGAGTCAGGAAACTGTTGTGAAGAACTCAAAACAATTGAGTTTCTACTTTTAGATAAAGAAAAGGGTGTGGAGGGGGTGGAAAGACAGTTAAGGTACTTATATAATTTCTACTCTCTCCCCTGCCAAGAAAACTGGAGACAAAAAAGAGAGATATAGAAACATAAAAGGAAGAAAAGAAGAGATGGATTGATTTAGACTGCATGTTTCCTTTCCCTCCTGGTGTGTGAGAGGGTCCCTCATTCTTTCCTATTGTGTGTCTTTCCTATAGTAGGAGAAGCTCTCAGAAGTGGCCCCATGCAAAGCAGCCTCTATGAGAGACCTGCACAAACCTGGTCTCCAATCGGATACAATGCTCTGTCAATCACATGGCACACAGTTATATTAAACAAAAGAAACAGGGGGATGCTTACTTTTACCCATGATGCCTAGCAGGGGTAGGGGGAGCCAGCTGTAGCTGGTTTATAACCTCAGGACATGGGATTATCTCTTAATTTTAAGAAGTCGTTTGTGAAACAAAAGTCAGTTTATTTTTCCACCCTAACTCTCTCCCCCCCCATTATTTTGGCCTACTGCCAGTTTGCTTTCATTCATGAGAGCTAGTTTCCTCTCAAATCATGACGCTTTAACTGTTTAGTTTCCAGAGTCAACATCTAAGGCTACAAAAAACCCCACAAAATCAGTATCAAAGTATGCCCCAATAGAAAACAAAGACACACTATCAACCTCCTTATTTAAGTCCCCCTTAGCACCACCACCCCACTACACCTTAAAGTCAAGATCCTAGATTGCAGGAGTGTGCCCTCAAATCAGACTCAAGCTAATTTTCTTCATCCTTACTTGAAGTACTGTATGTATGACAGGTACTGATAAAAGCAGCTGACATAGTCATCAAACTTAGTTTATTTGAGATAGGGTTTCACTACTTACTAGCTCTGGCTATCCTAAACAATACAATACAAAACAGGCTGGCCTCAAACTCATAAAGATTAGCCTGTCTCTGCCTCTGCCTCTCAGTGCTGGGAATAAATGCACATGAACCACATCAAGCTTAAATTTAAGACAAGGCCATACTGTAGTACAAACTAACCTTGATCTGGCAGCAATCCTCTATCCAGCCTTAGCATCCTGAATGCTAGAATCACATGTGTTAGCCACCACACCTAGCTTCATCAAAATCTTTTTCTCTGAAGCTGTCCTACAGGTAATAGCTGACGCAGGCCTATCAACTGATATCATTTGGGACAATTTAAACCAGAGCTAACACAATCACAGCAAAGTTTTATAGCAAAGTAGTATAAGAGCACATGCACAATCACACTGAGTTTGGGATTGTACTTTTAGCAGAGCTGATGTGACATGTATGTCATAAATGCTAGACAAGTACCCTGCCAATGAGCTATAACCTCATCCCTTTTTGCTTTTGTGTGTGTGTTGGTAGTGGTGTGCTGGAGAGTGAAAACACAAAGCCTTGTACATGTTAAATGCACCTTCAGTTCTGTGAACACTTTAAAAAAAATTTTTTTTGCTTTTAGCTTTTATATTTATTTTTCACATTCCAATTACAATTCCCCCTCCCTCCTATCCTCCCACTCCCTTCACACACACACCCCACCTCCCATCTGCTCCTCGGAGAGGGTAAGGCCTCCTCCCATAGGAAGTGTACTAAGACTGTCCGATCATCTAGTTGAGGCAGGACTAAGGCATCTCTCCATCCCTACACCCTTTCGTCTAGGCTGGGCAAGGTGTCTCTCCATACAGAATGGGCCTCACTAAGTCAGTTTGTGCATTAGTGTTAGATCTTGGACCCACTGCCATTGGACTCATACACTGTCCCAGTCACACCATTGTCACCTATATTAAGGAAGTCTAGTTTGGTCTTATGCAGGTTCCCCATTTGTCAGACCTCAAAGACCTCAATATAAATCCATCTACACTGAATCTCATAGAAGAGAAAGTGGGAAATACATTTGAACGCATAGCACAGGAGACCACTTTGTAAATAGAACACCAGTAGCACAGAATCTGAGAGCAACAATTAATAAATGGGACCTCAAAAATAAAAATAAATGAGACCTCCTGAAACTGAGAAGCTTATATAAAGCAAACAGTCAACAACACAAAATGGCTCCCTACAGAATGGGAAAAGATCTTCACCAACCCTACATCTGACAGAAGGCTAACCTCCAAAATATACAAAGAACTCAAGAAACTAGAAATCAAACTACCAAATAATCCAATTAAAAAATGGAGTACAGATCTAGTAAAGAATTTTCAACAATCTCAATTGGCAGAAAGACACTTAAGGAAATGCTCAACATCCTTAGTCATCAGGGAAATGAAAATCAAAACCACTCTGAGATTCCACCTTACACTGATCAGAATGGCTAAAATAGAAAAATTAAGAGTAACAGAACTGTGTTGTTTTCTGGGATTTTGTTTTTTACTTTTTTGTTATTGTTGTTTGTTTGTTTTGTTATTGTTGTTTGTTTGTTTGTTTGTTTTAAATGGAGTGTGCTGGATGTCTCTACAATTTTGTTCAAATGACTGCAGAACCTGGAAAAGTTGTTGCTGCTATTGATGCATAACATATTGCCATTATTGCTCTTTTTATATAAATATAAATATATATATAAGCTAACTGAAACTTTATGTATAAGTATGTATGTGTGCCTGCATGAATTTGTGTTAAGCCAAAAGACATGGATTCCCTAGGAACTACTGTTACAGGCCACTGTAAGCTACCTACCTGATGTGGGTCCTCTGCAGAACAGTAAGTAACCACTGAACCATCTCTCCAGCACCCCAAGCATATGCTTTAAAAATAGTTTATGCTGGGGCTGGAGAGAGAGCTCAGAGGTTACAAGCACTGGCTGTTCTTACAGAGGACGCAGGCTCAGTTCCCAGCACCCATGTGGCAGCTCATGCAGGCAAAACACCAATGCATATAAATTAAAAAAAAAAAAAAAGGTCGGGCGATGGTGGTGCACACCTTTAATCAAAGCACTTGGGAAGGAAAGGCAGGTGGATCTCTGTGAGTTCAAGGCCAGCTCAGGAGTGTTGGGATTAAA